ATGCCACGTTTTGTTTAGCTTTACTAAAAAGAGCAGCCCTAGAAAAAAGTTAGAAGAGGAGAAGGTAGAGAAAGGAGCAGTCAACAGGGATGTTGTTAAAAATGAATCCCTATTAGCAGACCACACGGGGTTCTTATCAACCAAACTGTTTTTTCTAGAAGACAAGTGAGTTTTGAAACTAGTCCTTCCACGAGCATATACCGGATTTACTATTCTCTTGTCACCTTAAATCAATGTGCTACATTGATAAAAGTAACATTTGTTATCTTGAGAACAAGGAAGCATAAAAAAAGGGTCCTTACGGTGGGTCTGCTGTTTTAATTTCACACACTTAAACCAATACACACTTCACTTCCAAAATTTTAAGAAGTTTCCAGAACATAAATTAAGCTAGGCAAATATACTTTTTTAAAACATCATTTAAAATTCCCCAAGAAATATTTTAATAAATATGACCTAATAAATATGTTTTTTTAATCTATGAAAACCCATGGCATTTCTAGCAATTTGAGGAGTATCACTTTAAGTGACAACTCTATCAGCACATAAAACTCAGATCCACTTTAAAATGCTGTCTCTAATTCTGTTTTTTTGGCTATGTTTGCACTTTACCTCTTTATCAAAAACGTTAGTTGGGCGGTCAGGCTGCTTTTTTTTTTTTTTTACTTTTGTTACAGGCCCAAGTAAAACCTCGGCCCAGGAGTGCCTGGGTGGCTCAGTCGATTAAGCGTCTACCTTCTGGGATTGAGCCCTGAGTCAGGCTCCCTGCTTAGCAGGCAGCCTGCTTTCTCCTCTCCCTCTGCCGCACTCTCTCGGTCTCTGTCTCAGATAAGTACATAAAATCTTAAAAACAAACTAAGAAGCAAAAGAGCACCTGCCTGCCTAACTAACTGGTCTTCAAGGGCTATCTGGATAATAATCAATTGTTCTTAAATAATACAAGCACATCTTTATAACATGAAAGCAATGTTGGATCTACACAAAAACAATGTTAGATTTAGAATTCCCTACGGAATTAAGGAAGGCTTAAGGAAGAATTTCAATTCAGGAAATAAAAGTTCCTTGGAAAAGAAACTATTCCCTTAGAAGAGTAGTTCAGGATAGTCTAGTTAGGAAAAAAAATCTTAATACTCTCTTTTACTTGGCTGTGATTACCAAAATTATCTCTAGTAAAATAGAATCTTGCTTTCTAGGCCAAAGAGTCCTATGTACAGTTATTTTCTATGTACAATTATTTCCCAAAAAATAATGTTTAACAGTAAGGACAATAATCTGGTCCCTGAATTTGGAGGTGCTGATCTGTATTATTTTTATTGGTCTGTAAATGGGTACTAAACCCATTAAATAGCCCTTTCTAGCTGAAAATTTAACAAATAGCAGATAGAGTTAAATTTAGACTTTACGCTATTTTCTCTTCATTTTTAGTTTAAACCTCAGAATGTCTAATCTGAAGTGATAAAAGAGGACATTAATAAACATTAGAGAAAAAATGTGCCTGACTCCTACCAAAGATCTTCTTACCAGTATGTATAAACTAAGTTTTATAGAACATAATATACTGACTATTCTCACATAACTGACAACTATCACTCTATTCCCACCCCACCTTCTTTCCTTTTCCTTTTAAGATTGCTCAAGGATAAAATGAATCCTACTTAATCTAAAAAATAACAAATACTCCAATCACTCCTTTCATATCACACTTGGGAGACAGAGATTAGGTCTTTAAACTCTAAAATAAAATATAAATAAATAGGAAAGTCTACATAAATCCAAAAGATCTCAAATTAAATGGCCATAACTTCATTCTTTTAAAAATACTGTCACATTGGGGGCGACTGGGTGGCTCAGTCAGATAAGCATCCAATCTTGATTTTGGCTCAGGCTGTGATCTCAGGACTGTGAGATCAAGCCCCACATCGGGCTCTGTGCTGGGCGTGGAGCCTGCTTAAGATTGTCTCTCTCTCCCTCTATGCCCCCCCAAGCCCCTCCCAATAAAATAAGATAAAATAAAATACTACCATATTGTCTTTGTAGAATATGTTCTCCTTATGGCCCCATATCACACACTAACCATGATACTAAAAATTCTGTATGCAAAGTTTATGTGCCAAGATGTACACTTCTCTCATGTCAAAAAAGATGTAAAGATATTTAGATTCACTTATTACAAGGCTGGAAAAACTACTCAGGTCTGGCCAATTCATGTCACTAAATGATGCTTCCATTTTCATGAATTCCCAATGCGAAGGCCTCCTGAAGAGACTCTACAGAAGCTTGTGCAGAAAGAAGAAAGAAGAGACCTAAAAGATAGGTGAGGCACCGGGGTGGCTCAGTGAGTTAAGCCTCTGCCTTCGGCTCAGGTCCTGATCTCAGGGTCCTGGGATCGAGCCCCGCATCGGGCTCTCTGCTCAGCAGGGAGCCTGCTTCCCCCCCTCTCTCTGCCTGCCTCTCTGCCTACTTGTGATTTCTGTCAAATAAATAAATAAAATCTTAAAAAAAAAAAAAAAAGATAGGTGAGAAAGCAAGCACAGAGAAGACCAAGTGTGTAACAGAGCAGTAACTAGAAGAGAATGTTCAGCAGTGCGATAATATGACGCATTTGGGGAACTACCATAATAGAAAACTCAAAAAACGAATTCCATTATTTAATGTTGTCATTATGCAAAAATGATTACATATAATATTAAACACATATTTACTGAATGATTATTCTTGTATCCTCTCAGTGTTTATCCATAGGGTGCATTCAAAATGTATCTGTTGGTTGACCAATAAAGGGTCATAAAAATACATTTTCCATTCAGTATTGTTACTGCTAGATATTCCTCAGGCTAAGGCGTTAGAAATCAATTCCTCTGGAGGACAAGAAATCTGAGTGGATATACAGTTGGACTCAGGGGAGAAAAGCAACCTCCTTGCTTTAAGTAACTTCTCTTGAAATCCTAGCTTGCTTTTAGATACACAGAACACAGGACAGCCCCAACCTGATCTTGCAGACTAAATATGTCCCCTGGAAACTAAGTATGTCTTAGAGACATGTACTTTCTCTTTATTTGATGGCCATCATCTTTATTTCAGAGCAAAGAATGATCATCAGTGCTTGCTTATGGAGAGCACCAGCCGTCATCATTCTATCTCACCTGGTGAACTCAAAGGGTGATCTTGGATCAGCAGCACTGGTATCACCTGGGAGCTTGTTAGCAACCGAGTCTCTCAGGTCCCACCCCAGACCTACTGAATCAGCATGTGCATTTTACTAGGACTCCTGCTGGTGAAGAAGCATTGCTCTTACTGGACAGAAGGAACATGGAAGCAATTCAGAAGCCCCAAGATTAAGCTTCAGACCCCATGACTTAACAGATGTTTTAACAGTGAGCAAGACAGCATGTTTTTTCCTTGGTTTCCTCAACTATAAGTTGGAGGTAATATTACTCATTTTATTTATACACACACCTATCAAGGAAGGCTATTTTGGGAACCGCCCCCAAAATGCTGGATGTTAAAGCTCCCTGTAAATTATAAAGCACTATACAAACACAAGGCACTACTGTTAATGATACATACAGCTCAATGATACCTGTCCTCATGTGATCTCTCACAGACCATCAGAGGCATGTTATTAGATTATACATTATTAAGATAAAAGGCTCCTCATGTGTCACAAACCTTTCAAGTTCCTATCACACTGTAGTCAAATCCTTCTGTTTTCATTAAAAACTGAATGTCAACTAGGCCTCATAAAGGGATCTGAACACTGCTACTATCTTGCCCTCCAGACCTGATTTATTCTTTCCTGGACTTCACTATAGTTTCCAAGATAACAAACTAACTTTAACACACTGCCAGGCCTAAGAAATGACTAGCCTTGGAAAAAGCCTGCTTTTGCTCGAGCCCTTGGTATTTCTGGCCTATTTAGCACCAGCCTTTCTTCCCCAAAGCAGAGCATGACCAGAAGGCTGCAGTTTACACATAGTATTTTAGATGCTATGTTTTATGTTAAGGGAAGAAACCAGTATCCCAGTTTTCTCTTCATCTTAGAAGAAGTCTGTGAATCTTAAAAAAATCCTAAATTGTATCCACAGTACCCAAAGGTTTATCGTATCTTTCTCTTACCTATCAAATGAATGCCAAGAAGAAGCTTTTTATGACCAGGGCTTTGTTAACCAAAGCTGGATAGCTTTAAAAATGATAATCTAACTAGTGGGTCAACTTATTTATTCATGAGATTCAGTTTCTATCAAACTTGGAGAAGCAATGCAGATCATAAAATGCTAAATAAACCCATTAGCATTATAAGCTGCAACCTTAAACAACTTTTCAGCTGCTCACCCAAATCTCTCCCAGCCTGGAGAAACCAGGCTTCCTTCTCCTGACTAAGCTGTGTAGTCCCTGTTTCCCCTGTCATCCCACACGCCACGGAGACCCTTATTGAGAATTCAGACTCCATGCAGGGGAACAGAAAAGGATTAACACATGCAACTGTGCAGCAACACTTTTAGACACAGTTTAACTAAAAAAAGAAAAAGAAAAAAAAAAGTCTGCCCAGCACAAGAACAATCCCCAAGTCAGCCCAAGAGCAGAGAATTAGTACTATCAGGTGATCAGAAACAAAACCAAGGCAAACACCCGCCAAATTCAATATTCAATATAACCATCATTAAAAGAATCGCCACTGACGCATACTCGGAAACCACGATCAAGAGGCAGAGCCTACCAGAGAAGCTCCCACTAGTTCCGCAGAAAGCACTTGGTTTTGCTAGAACTAAAGATTTAACTTGAAGACATAAAAGGCATGAAACTGTACCTCTATGGACACTTCTTCAGACTAAGGCTACCAGGAGATGAAAGTTCATTCTCCATTAAGGAAATGAGAGAACAGCATATGGCATCAGTGAGAGCTGGACAAGCAGCTGGGCGGGTGCTCATATCTGTGGAACAGGGAAGGGATGACAGCAAGCTGCCCTTTTCCTAACAGAGGATTCGGGATGGACTCCTACCAGTCTCTGCTGCTCCAAGAGAAGATCTGCTTCTTCTTTCTCCTTTTTGTATAGGATCTCCATCTCCTGTAGTCTAGAAGGAAAAAAAAAAAAACAAGAGAGGAAGGAATAAATTGTGAAATCACTGGCCTGTTCGATGAGGGCTATACACTGTACGTTCTAAAGAGATGACAGTCATGGGGCCACATCATATTTTGCATTACCTTTTCTCCATCTCCTGCTTCATATCAATCCCTTGTTTTTCCAGAAGTTCTCTCTGGGCAAACGTCCAGTCCACAGGCTCAGAGGGGGTCTCAGCAGAAGGAGTCTTCTCCCGCTCTGCCCGTGCTTGCTCCGGGTGGTTGAAACGAAACACATGGTTTTTACCCATGATGATACGGTTTCCTACCACAGAACAGAAACAGAGTTAAGAAGCCATTTTTTAAATGTATACCCATCTAGGTTAATAACCTCACTCTCCCTCCCTTTCCCTAAGGCAATAAGACAGCCTTTGGAGTTTTATAAGAACAGAAATCCTAATGCTATTATACTTGAGTCTTTAAACAAAGGGTCAAAAATTCAAGAGTTGCTCACACAGACTTCAAATGTTTCCCGGTCTCAGGGGCGCCTGGGTGGCTCAGTTGGTCAAAGTGTCTAACTCTTCATTTCGGCTCAGGTCATGATCTCAGGGTCCAAAGATGGAGCCCCATGTGGGGGCTCCCTGCTCAGCAGGGAGTCCACATTCTCCCTCTCCCTCTGCCCCTCCCCACACTTGTGTGCACTCTCTCTCAAACAAATGGGTAAAATCTTTAAAAAAAGAAGAGGAGAAAGCAAAGCACTTAAAAAAAACAAAACAATTTTTCCAGGCTCACCTGAGCGTAGCTGAACAGGCTGGGCCACCCTCTTGCCATTGACATAGGTTTCTGAGCGTTCACAGGGCTCTAGGGTCACAATAACTAAAAAGAACAAACCAGTATTAGCACCACAAGATGGTGGAATAAAGCAGTGGAAAGAAGATGACTATGAAGATTCCGGGTCCAGGGAATACATTCGTGCAACCAAGTGGCAGAGCATCTACACAGTAGTTCATTTTAGGATATCAAAACCAGGGGCGTGGCTAAGAGAAACATTTAAATGAATTTGACAAACCTCAGAAGAAGATGGGAAATGCTAGTTTTGGTGACATCTGACAGTACAGTCCATAAAACTGAAAACCATCAGAAATCCTAAGTCTAAGATATAGGTATTAACCAGAAATGTAAAATCAAAAGCAGCTAACATTCTGATTAAAGGAATGAGTCCTACAGTATAAAAATACTATTAGATTATTATTTTGTTAGTAACCCAGACAAAAATCAAGATTGACTTTTTCTTCCCTTTTAGATAAAAATAAGTTCTGGGTTAAGATCAGAGGTCCTTCAAATCTCCCACTACCCAGGATATTTGTTCCTTTCTTACTTGTGTATTAAATAATTAACATTCAAGACCAAGCCTAATTGCCTATGTCCCCCTCAGTTCTTGGCAGTTACAAAAGGGCTCCTTTAGTCCAGGCTATTTTCATGTAAAATAGCTACGTCCCTCCCTGAATCTGTAAGCAGGCCAGGTTTCTCCATTTTCAAATATTAGATTGTACAAGAAAGTATCACTGAGAGAGACAGGGAATAGCAAGCCCTGGGGATTTCTAGTAATATAGAATGAAAAGGTTGTTGGAAAAGCTACGCCAGGAACTCTCACCATCCCCACTGTTGTTCCTCTCGCTCCGGAAGATACAATGCTCTTCCTGAATGTGAGCCCCACTCAGCACGATGTCCTGGCGCCGCTCAGCATCTGCTTGGCCAACCCTGAACACAAGGGAAAGTGTTTCCCAGGGAAATTCAGACACAAAAAGCACTGAAAACAATGAACCCCTTTCTCCCAAAGAATATTCTTTGGTATGTACAAAAAAGGTATCGCTTCTTTTTATCAAAGGCTTTCAACTGCAAATTTTATTTTCACATATGATCAACCTCCCTACATTAGAATAAGAAACCAAGGAGCAAGGATACATCAATGTAACTCACTCAGCTTTATAAAAAGACAAGAGTGAACTAATCTCCCTAATGAATTCATATAAGAAGTTACGGGAAAAAATTTTTACTTAGGGTTTTTAGGGAAAACTACATGTTAACTGGTTCAGATGGCTAAAGCACTTACATCATTTGGGAAGCCAAGAGAGTTTGTAACTATTTCAGACACAAAAAACAGCAAATCATTACAACAAATTTTTCAACAAATAACTTCCCTGTAGTTATTCCATCAATTAAGAGAAAAGAAAATAGTAAGTGACCAAAAGAAACAAATATACCTTGTAATTCCATCTTTGATGTAATAAAGCAGGCATTCGGACATTAGTGGGTCCTCATTGAGGTTAACAAGATGCGGGGTCTGAAAAAAGGTACAGATGATCAATTTGGAGCAAGTACCACTGGGCAGGCGGTGATAGTAACAGTGACCTAGGAGGGCAATGGTTTCCTAGATTATCCACAGTCCCTAGAAGAGGGATGTCTTTTATTCCTAGTTCCTAGCTGCAATTCCACTACAAAGAGAAAACACTTCTCTTCAGGCCTTCTCAAACTGCACTAATACATTCTATTTAAAACATGAGTTCAGGGATAAAGCACAAGAGCCGATTCTGAATAAGGTCGAAGCATGAAGATTACAAAAGAAAAATAAGGACAGGACAATTCTCTGGATGGGTTAATCATAATTTTTAACTATCTGGACAAAAATCTTGAAGGGTAACAAAATATGCCACTTTGACGTATTATTTTGAGCTGAAGTCCCCTAAAAAACAGCAAACGCAGGGAGAAGCTTTCTTTGAGAACCCCCTCTCTCATCTCAAGACAGGTCCTCCTGAATGCCCTCAGCTGTCATGTCCCCTTGGGAGTCCGTCAACCAGGGAGGAGGGACTTGTATCCCAGGAAAGGAGACCAGAGGTTGACACCGCACTCAGACTTTGTCACAAAGGATCACACCACCCATCTATTCTCCCAAGAGCCCCTTCATCTTTCCTGAAAATCATTTATTCCCTCCTGAGACGCCAAATCCCCACTCCCCTTACCCTACTAGGACAGCATTTAAGTCTGAATTCTAAGCCATGATGGGGAGTCACTCACTTTCTCTTGGGTAGCTCCCACACATACATGAGGCAAACACGTTAATAAGCTTATTTTTGTTTTTCTCTTATTAACCTTTTATGACAGGGCTCTCAGCCAAGAACTCAAAAGGGTAGAGGGAAAATTATTTTCCCTTCCTACAACCTCCAAAAATAGTTTTTCATTTACTTTATAAAAATGCTTTAATTTTTTTTCAAGACTTTATTTGTTCATGAGCGAGAGAGCGACGTGCACGAGAGAGCGACAGAAAGAGAGCACAAGCAGGGGGAGAGGCGCGGAGGGAGAGGGAGAAGCAGACTCCTTGGGAAGCAGGGAGTCCAATGCGGGGCTCCATCCCAGGATCCTGAGATCATGACCTGAGCCGAAGCCCACTGAACCACCCAGGAGCCCCTATAAAAGTGCTTTAAAAAAAGGGGTGACTGGGTGGCACAGTCAGTTGAGCATCTGACTCTTGGTTTTGGCTCAGGTCATGATTTCAGGGTTGTGGGATCAAGCCCCGCATCAGGCTCTGCGCTCGGGATGGAGTCTGCTTGAGATTCTCTGTTTCTTTCTCTGCCCCTCCTCCCCCTAAAGATAAGTAAATCTTTAAAAAAAAAAAAAAAAAAGTGTTCCCACATCTCCTGGCATTTCCCTCTATAATTTTCATCACTTCTTCCATGGTCCCAGTTACTGTCTTTAGTTTATTAGTCTTTACCTTAAAGAAGAAATTAAAATTACTGACATTCAACAATACACACATCTTGTAAAAATCCTCTTCATCTAACTCTAATATTTCTAAAATTTTTGAAAAACCAACCTTCTTTGGTGAAAATACCCCACTGGAATCCAAAAATAAGTCACATGGTCTTGGGGTCAAAATCTACTCAAGACAGTGCCAGCGAATGTGGAAAAATGAAAGAAGAATCAGATGAGAGGGTTAAGAACAGAGAATGAGAAAAATGATTAAACAGAAATTAGAAAAAGCTCTACATCATCATCTGCTTCTGTAGTTTAAGACCTCTGCTGGTTTGAGAAAGTCAAGGCCCTGTGGACAGTGTTCTTTAAAGCCCATCAGGGCACTGGCCTCAGAAAAACGGAATCCTGCAAACAGGTTTTGCTTCCCCTTGCCTTTAAAGTTTCCCCCCGACCCAGTTTTATGGAGGTATGACTGACAAAAATTGTATACATTTAGGTTGTACAACATGATTTTTTTAAGGTGTTGAACGTGTCAATTTAGTATACATACACATCATGCAATGATTACCACAATCAAGTTAACACATTAGAAACAGGTTCTAAAACTGAATTTGGATGTAGCCAGAGGTATATTCCTTCCTTTCCTGAGGAAGTCTAGAAAGTTAAAACAAGATGCATAAAATTAAAGCAAGAAAAACTTTGGAAACAGAGATCTCAGTGTGGAATTCCATGCTGTTTATGTCACAACACTTAAATTATTTATGACTTGTGTTAAATGCCATAGTTTTACAAGTTGTTACAAAAACTTTCTATATAGTTCTTTAACTCTCAAAGATGTAAGATCTCTTTAGTATACACAAGGCACAAACCTGATCAAACCTGTAACTGCTAAAACCTCTACAATCCTAAGAATGGTATCTCAATAAATAATATCTTACTGAAGGAAACACTATTAAACTTAAAATCACAAACCGTTGGCAGTACAGACACACAAATTACCGTTACTATTATTCCAGTTTCAAAATATGTACCGAAAATGTCTTTAAAACACTCTTGTATTTGTTGAAAATAAGCAATAGAATTCCTTAAAAAAGTTATGTGACCTTGACAGAAAAACCAAACCTAAAGAATCCTAGCAAAAACCAGGAATATTTCCTATCACATAAAAACAAAAATGGAAACACCCCTGCCCATTCAATGCCAAGCTAGAGAGATCATCCTCAGACCCCACAGGACATGTGTAAGTCCCTGATAGCCAAGCTGGGGTCATCTGAAATGAGGAACCATTTTTTACTGGCATGAATATATATGCTTTGTAAATAAATAGAAATAATAATTTGATAATAGCTTTCCAATATCTACAAATAACTAGGAAGCAACTCAGTAAAACAAAATGAAACAAAAACAACAAAACCCCCCCAAAAAACAAAACCGACTTTACTATTCTAATTAGCTACTACCTAACAAGTAGGTATCTACTACCTAACAACTAAGATTACATAAGTGGGAGGGTAACTACTGGAGTCATTTTTTTAAACAAAAGCTAAGAAAGCAGCAGAGGCGGCTAGAAGGTTGAGGACAGGAATTGCTTTACTCAGTAGAATGGTCGTCTGCAACACAACTACAGAAACAAACTTGTGTGGTATTTTTCTACACAAACCTGAATAGCTGAAATTGCTTCCAAAGAGTTATAAATCAGGGCTGCTGGCATCTGTGGGAAAATTTACATAGAAAGAGTAGCCAAACTGAAGCCAGGTATGCTAGGTGAGAGGCCGGGAATTTAAGAGAAAGCAACAATGCAGATGAGTGAACATACTGAATCATGACCAAAAGTTAGATTTACTGCCTTGGGTTTTATTTTGTAAACAGCAAACATGATAGGCATTTGAGAAATAGGCTGCCCCTTACTGTAGTAAGAAATCAGAAATTAAGCCAAATCTCAAGATAAAATGAAGGGAGGAGGGGCCAGCCCCAAAAGACCGGAAGTGCCTCAGTGACCAAGACAAATAGGAAAGGCTTCTGCTGGGTTGAGTTTCACAAGTTTCCTACCTTCTTAGGTGAAAAAACTCCCAGTGTTCCTCCATCTTCCCGAATGGCCACTCCCATCTCAGCCAATAAGGCCTCCCTAGAAAAACAACAAGCACATCAGAATACCAATACCAAAATGTCAATTAAATAAACCTTATGAACTGGAAAGTAAAGCATGCAGAGCACACACTACTGTCTGTGTTAATAATTCAAATGTGAAATATCTGTCTATTCCATCATTCATGAGAATTTAAGGGAAACAGCACATTCAAAATAAGTTCTGTTCCCATGTTAGGTAAAGTTGTATTTGCTCAAGTAAGAACTTTGTCTCATCTGACTTTGGAGGCAGACAGACATTCATAAATAATATGTCCATTAATATACAAGAAGGAAGACAGGGATATTCCTTAAGGCCAGACATCTAACTCAAAGAATCCTTTCTTCAAAATCTAAGAAAGCAATCAGAAGGTAGCTTGGATATGTGAAGGTTGTCTATAAATGTGTTTTTCTCAAATGTGATGCTACCCAGCCCAACATCACATTGATTCTAGAATATTCTAGCTTAAGATCCCAATAGTAAGAATATTCTAACCGTTTGATGCATCCAGTGCATCAATACATGCACTCACTTCTACCTCATCTTCCATGAAGGGGGAAGACAGGTCTGACCTTTTTTTAATGTATATTCATCGCAATAAGAGAAGTATTATTTCAGGTTACAGTCACTTTCAGGGTAGAGAACTGAGAGGTTAAAAGTAGAAAAGGGATTTTAAAAGTCTGCAACTCAAACTATTTCACCTCTTACCAAAGAGGTTCTATAAAACACAACTCACAAACAATCATCAGAGAGCTTCATTATTCGGGCCTTTGTCTAAGGCAGTTGTTTTACAAAGTGAAAATTCTATCCCAGGGTACCTGGGTGGCTCAGTTGGTTCAGTGTCCAACTCTTGACTCTCAATTTCAACTCAGGTCATATCTTAGGGTCATGGGATCAAGCCCCACATTGGGCACGATGCTGGGTGTGGAGCCTGCTTGGGTTTCTCTCTCCCTCTGCCCCTCCCGCACTCTAAAATAATAAAATATTTACCCCCCCCCAAAAAAAAACCAGAAAAGAAAAACAAAAAACCCCTCTATCCCTGGATATCTTCCATTTTACATGGACCCTGAACACCATGCAGTATGGTAATGATCACAGGACTCTCTAGAGAATGTCTGACTATGTAAGCTCTGCTGGGGGAAGGCCCCGAGCAGACTGAGTTCTGTTCTCTTCTGCCGTTGGCAAAGGGGCCCTTCATTTTTACTTCCAGCTCAACTTCTCCATCTATAAAAGGAATTCCAGTTCCCCTGAAAATGTGCAGATACCCCGAGAGCTTAACTTGCTGACCTCTCCATTCTGATGGCTTCTGTTTTACGCAGCTTCTCTTCCCAGGTCTCATTCAGCTCAGCAATGATCTTCTCCGATTCCTAAGACAAAGCCCACAGTTAAAGCAGAGAAGAGCCTTATGATGTAACACGCTATGTCTAGGACAGACAGCAAGAGGCACACGATGCCCTTTGTGGGTAGGAGGCAGAGTCTAATACAATGAGATTTTTTTTCCCTTTCTTAATATTATGTTCAATAAAATTCATGGAGACTAGGTCTAACATTAAATCAGCCCTAGATACATAAATTCTCCTAAGTCCTAACAAAAATACCTAGGAATGAGAGAGAGAGAGAGAGAGAGAGAGAGAGAGTGTGTGTGTGTGTGTGTGTGTAGAAAGAGGAGTAACAATAACATCCCCAAATGCAAGACACTATTTCTGACAGCCACTCCTACAAAAGAATAAAGCCACCAAAGACATTTACTGCTTTTGTTTCACTGTAATTTCCCCAGAGCACTGATGGGGCTAAGAACCCGCTCCTCTGAAATGTGGCATCTTGGCATACTGACGATTTTAGGCTGAAGTAAACTGAGCGGTGGCATCTGCAGGAGGGCTCGGAACCTCTCAAGCACGAGAGGAGCCTCCCTGCGCCTGGAAGAGGGGGCACCCTCATCTCCAAAGACGAGGAGCACTCAGAGCCTCTGAACGAACAGGCCCTGATGCGTCCCCCAAGGTCCCTCATAGCTTCCCAAGACTCTTCCCTCTTTATCAAACCTAGCAAAAAATGCTCAGGTTTAATACTTCTTTGGGTCCTTATTTCCTTATGAAGGCTCCGAAGTCATATAAAACTTCTTTTAAATAAATTTGTGTGCTTTTCTTTCATTAATCTGTCCTTTGTTTGTAGAGACCCCAGCCAAAAACGTGAAGGGTAAATGAGTATTTTCGTTCCCCTACAACACAATGCCCTTCTGAACACATCCCAATACCTGATACAGAAAGGGTTAGTATTAATCTCAGCTGAAGGCACGCAGCCACGGAAGTGCCAGTTTCCTGGTCTCCTGCTGAGTCTTTATGAATGCCAGAAATACAAGATCTAAAACGTGTTTCCTGTTCTCAAGAAATTTACTGTATACGAGGGAGAGAGAAGTAACTGACAACTCATGTGCTACATTATATACCAAACCCTGTTTCGGGCAGCTAGGGATGTGGCAGGGAACAAAATCCCTGATTTCATGAAACTTACATCCTAGTAAAGAGACTGAAATTTTAATCAATCATTCAAATATATAGTACATCAGATCGTGGCAAGTGCCTTGGCGAAAAAGCAAGAAAGGGAAAGGGGTAAGTGAGGGAACAGTTTGGAACGGGGTTTTCAGAACAGGGCTCGCTGATAAGTCTCTGTGTGAGCAGACACCACGAGCAGGAGCCGCCACATGCACATGTGAGGGAAGGGGTGAGAAACGCCGGGCGTTTTCCAGGATCCACAGCGTGGCCAGAGCAGCGGGCTTGCAGACTGTGAACGGGTAGGGGAGGAGAAACAACAGGCCACAGTGCCACATGCTAGAACTGAGGTGTTCCCAGGTCGCTGGAGAATGGGTGAGCTCAGACTGATGAATAAAGGACAAGTAGGAATCCACTTGGCGAAAAATGGAGGGAGGCGGACGCCCTGAAAGGGGGCTGAACACATGCAAAAAGCGGAAGAAAAACTAGTCACGGAGACAAAACTAGAAAGTCAAATGATGACGCCCAGGAGCACGGCAGTGAGGAGACGACAGCTCTGATGACGGCGGCGCTAGTGATTCAGGATGAAAACCCTGCACGGCTCACAAAATAGCTCACTGATTCATTTAACAGGCTGTTGTGAGAAGCCTCTGGGATCTGAAAACATAATTATCTACACAGAAAGAAACAGTGAGCACGTAACACAACCAATCCGACAGTGTCTGCGATTCGCCTCTCCGGAAGGAAGCACAGGAGCGTGTAAGAGAGCCGCGAGCGAGAGCTCCAGGCGGCAGCTGCAAAGGCAAAGGAGTACAGGAGTCGGGAGAAACAGGAGAGCGTCCTGATGACGGCGGCGAAGAGCGACGAGCCAAGCAGGGCAGAGAGCAAAACTGGTGACCGGGCCAGAAGAGGGAGAAACAGCACGGGCATCAGTGCACTCCACAGAAAGGGGCCATCGATGAGCTACTCATTCAGAAAAGGGTCCGTGACAAAGAGGGAGATGCCAGAACAAGCCTGCGGGAGGGCGCGGAGGGGAGGACAAGCCAAAACCACCTCAACTGACCATCACGGACCCTCCAAACACCCACAGAGGCTGAAAGACTGAAACGGCTACCCGAACGCTCTGTCCAGCGGCCTCCAAGAGGACAGATCTGGCACGCGGTGCACGCACCGCTCCGAGCTGAGAAAGGAAGCAACGGGCCAGACGACAGGGCCAGCAACCAAACACACCCTCACAGCTTCAGCACGGAGGGAGCCGGCGGGAAAGCAAGTGCGCCGAGAACGAAGCGGGCAGTCAGCGCTACGAGTTACCCAAACAGCTCGCACGGAGCGGCACTAAATGCTTTCGCACAGGACCGGGAGGGCAAACCCGAGGCGAGCTGGCACGTGAGAGTAAGGCTGGGTAGAAACCTTTACCATCTCGAAATGGTAACTTCGAAAAGAAAGGACTAGGACAACAAGCCGCCCAAACAGAGCACCCAGACTAGTGCTTACCACACAGAGGGTGGCCCACAAGCCACGGGTGCTAGTGACGGAGGATACACTGACCCACGAGAAACTGTTTTCTCCTGGTTGGTTATTTTCGGGAGAAGATCATGTCTGTATGAGATTCACTGGCTATATGAAAGCTATTCTGTTTTGGGGCAACCGTAAACTCACCCCAGATCGCAAAATCCCTGCCTAGGGATCCCGTTTCCACTGTGCTGCCGATCCTGAGGCGAATGCTCTAGTTCTACTTGCCACCTGGACGGTGGGTCAGGGCATAATCTCTTTGTAAAAAAGAGATTTGGGGCGCCTGGGTGGCTCAGTGGGTCAAGCTCTGCCTTCGGCTTGGGTCACGATCTCAGAATCTGGGATCGAGCCCCGCATTGGGCTCTGCTCAGCGGGGAGCCCACTTCCCCCTCTCTCTCTGCCTGCCTCTCTGCCTACTTGTGATCTCTCTCTGTCAAATAAATAAATAAAATCTTAAAAAAAAAAAGAGAGATTTAATGAGTTAGCTGAATATGGTACTACTTTTATTTTTCACTATAGCTTCACGTTGCAATTTTTATGTTGTCTAAAAAGCTATTTTTTAGGGGCACTGGGTGGCTCAGTCAGTTAAGCCTCTACCTTCAGCTCAGGTCATGATCTCCGGGTCCTGGGATCGAGCTGGCATCAGGAATCCCTGCTCACTGGGGAGTCTGCTTCTCCTCCCTCTGCTCCTCCCCCGCCCTTGCTCTCTCTCCCTCAAATAAATAAAATCTTTAAAAAAAAAAAAGTTATTCTTTTTAAAACTCTGAAGAAGAAAGGTTACAGAAAATGATACTAAGCAAAAGTTCAGTGCTAGAAAGAGCCATTTATTCCAGAACCATTCTAGAAATAAAGAAACTGAGGACCAGAGAAGCTAAGAGACTAATCTGAGACCACATTACATCTGAGCCACTAAACCCTAGAGTGCGGTCTCCTGACTCTTTTTTTTTTTTTTTTTTTTAAGATTTTATTTATTTATTTGTCAGAGAGAGAGAGGGAGAGAGAGTGAGCACAGGCAGACAGAATGGCAGGCAGAGGCAGAAGGAGAAGCAGGTTCCCTGACAAGCAAGGATCCCGATGCGGGACTCGATCCCAGGACGCTGGGATCATGACCTGAGCCGAAGGCAGCTGCCCAACCAACTGAGCCACCCAGGCGTCCCCGGTCTCCTGACTCTTGATGCTTTTTTCAGTTAAGGCAGAACCACTAGGCTTTTAAAGAAAATATTCTATAAAACAGCTCATCATCAATCAAGAAAGACTGAAGGATATTATTTCTTCAAGCCTGAATAGCGAACTTGGCATAAATAAAACCGAGACGCCAACAGGAGATAACTTCCAATCTCTGAGTTGTCAACTTACTCTGCAGGCAGGCCTGGTACACTAGTACGCAGTGCTGCCCATAACCCACTCTAGAAACCCAATTTATAAGATTAAATTGAAATTGGGATGCATCGGGGCACTTGGGTGGCTCAGTGGGTTAAAGTCTCTGCCTTGGGCTCAGGTCATGATCCCAGGGTCCTGGGATCGAGCCCCGCATCAGGATTCTCTGCTCAGCGGGAAGCCTGCTTCCCTTTCTCTCTCTCTGCCTGCCTCTCTGCCTACTTGTGAACTCTGTCAAATAAATAAATAAAATCTTAAAAAAAAAAAAAAAAGGAAATTGGGACACATGCTTCAGAAATGAGGAGTCCAGACAATCTTCAAGAGTCCTTCTTTCTCAGAGGTAGTACACACAAAAAAATTCCAAAAAGCAGTGACAGGAGGAACCTTGTCTTAAAGCTCTAAGAAATGCTGGGCCCAGGCACCATTCAACTTTGGTCTCACATCACGAATGTCTATCTATGTAGCACTTGTTAGTAATTATGTTCACACTACCAAACACAACTTAATTTCTTTGTCATGATTTGGTTAAGGTGGCAGAGAAATCTGCAGAACAAATCACAAATATTTCCATAAAAAAGAATTAGTTTGAACTGTGATATTTAAAAGGTTCAATGCTTACTATACAGAACATTCCCTGAAGCCATCAGATAACCAAGGTTTTACTGTACTGAACATAGTATGCTCCGTGTGTTCCAAGTGTGGGGCCCTCTGGCCGCCTACAGCATCTGCCCTTGCGTGCTTCTGTAACGGATACTTGTGGATATTTATAGTTCAAGCCTAGGCGATGGCACTCATAGTACTAGCTCTGATGCTAAACTAATAAACACCAGAGCTACCGCACAGTCGCTACAGTCACATGTTTAAAACCTTACTCTGTGAGAATCCAAATCAAGGATACAGACATCCCAACTCATCCCAGCAATTACATTTCACTCTCTTTTGCCAGAGAGGTTTGTGGAGGGGTCGAGATCTTTTATGATAGGGTAACGTGGGTCTCTTCTGTATGGAAAGAAGCTATTCAAAAAATGAAGCAGTAGCAACACGTTATGCAAAAAATAGTTTGCAAACTGATCATATTTTTAAAGTTTTCCATGACAGTATTTCTGTCCTGCAGTATCATGCCTTAGGAACGCAGCTCCAAAACACTCAACAATGAAGTAGTCCAAAAAGGAAGAACTCTCAAGCACTTCTGTTGTATAACCACTGCCTTGCACTGTGCATGCACAATGCTATCTGCCTGAGGCATTAGAATGCAGGTCTGCTGGACTGAATTCTCACCATTCACAAAACAGGAGCAAAACGAAGGCACTTACGCCTCAGAGGACTGCTGTGCTGCATTTAAAACTCGGGATCCAATGAAAACCAGTAAGAAGCAATTTTCTAAAGGTAGGGGAAATGGAAGATTTCACTTACGTTGACTTAAAGGAAAATTAAAACAAATTTCTTTTCTCATGAAAGTCATACAATTTTGTTTTGGTTTTGGTGGGAAGGAGGAAGGTTGGGGGGAGGGTTCCCTGAATAATGGCAGTGTTATTCCCCAGAAACTATCTGGAAGACATTGGGTGACCTAATTCTTAAAGAGTCTGGTTAACGTCTTGACTCCTAACATTCAATGTTATTTTCAAATGGCGCCACATGGCAGTTAGGAAATTTTTTTTCTTTTACACCAAAATGTAAATTAACAGAAATTATAATCTTCTTTGTATACCAAGGCTTTAATAGGTGATTTAGTAAGATTCAAAATCCCCAAAGAAAAGGAACATTTTATATTAAACAGTAAGTAGGAGACTTCACTTCCTGCTCACGGAACCCCTGCATTTCCCCCACTGGCCCAACTGAACCCTACACAGCAACTTTGTCACCAATGTCCATCGTGAAAAAACACACACATGAAGCTGTCCTGCACAGGCTTCACTAATGTCTTTATTACAATTTCAAAGGCAATTTTACAAAAACAGGAATTGCCGTTTGATCTGTAACAATTAATGAAATGAAAAGATTTCTTACCCTTCTCCCTTTGCTAGGTGTATCAGAAACCTACCCACTTCCTACAAACATGTTCTGAGGGAAGGAACAAGATCATTATTTTCGTTTCTGAAGCACCTTAGGTTAGAAGTGAGTAAAAAAATACCAATAATTAAGAAGGAGAGGCCCATTCTTCATATAAAATCTTTCTTGGCCTCACCTAAAAACTGAAATGAAAGCATCTGCCATCTTCGATTATCAAGCTTCATTCCCTTTTAGTGGTGAAAAGGCTCAGCAAACCCTTCCCATCACTCATTCGTCAAAGCGGGTCGCTGCTCAGCTGTGCCTGAGCAAGCAGCACCGAGGGCAACACAAGGAGGCCTGCGGGCGGCAAGCACAACTACAGCTCCTGACGACACTCTCGCTGCCCTCCTTGTTTTCCCTGCCCTGGCATGGGGAAACAAAGACCCAAAGGTGTGGCTCCAACGATCACCCTGGGGGCAATGAGCTGGGAGAGAAAAGGAATCTGCGTCTACGATACTGTCCCATGATCTGAGGGACGGCAGGGTCTGTTCTCCCTGCAGTCACTGAGCGGGAGGAAGAAGCCAGAAGTCAGCAGGTGCTGCCTCCGCTCACTTTCACACTCAAGAAGAGAGACAAGAATGTTCCCAACAGAGCCAACCACAGACTGGGAAAGCGAGGCCGGGTACCACAGCAGGTGGACCTGCACACGCAGGGTCCAAGCGTGCCTGCCGCCCAGCGCGGAGACCCCTGATCCCACGGGCCCCAGCACATCAGGAGGCAGCCCTCCCACAGCAGTGATAGGGTTCCAAGACTTCCTATGAGCTTCCACAAGTTGTCATCTCACATGTCTCTGAAAAAACCTTGGTAGAGCTACTCACATGCTCAAACCTTCTTTTGGTTGTCCATTTATTTTAATAACACAAACATGACTCTATAGAGAATTCCATCTTTAGACGAGTCCAAGTGCTTCTAACTAATTAGTCTCCTACTAAATTTCTAACTAAACAATTTCCCTGTGACTTATAAACTACCTCAGAATTAAAGGACATTATCTATTTATGAGTTATTTTCATGGCCAACCAATGATCTAGCCAAACATCTCTCAAATCACTGCCTGGCAAAGTCATGACTCAAGCATTCTGGTAAAAAGAAATTAATTATCTTATAAAGCGGCACATTCATGTTCAGGACACTTCTAAGAGTTAGAAAGTTCTTCCCCATCCTGAACAAAAATCTCAGTGATTTTTTAAGACCAAGTCTGCTTTGTGAAGCTACATAGACCACCCTTCATTCAGTCTGAATTATTGCTTACCTTTAGACGTTCAATGGCTTCCTCTCCTCCAGGTGTAGACATGATCCTCTCCTGAATACTGGTGACAGATGGTAAGCCCACCTGACTATTGAGTGAGCAGGAAGATGGAGATGAAGTAAGAGACCCCATGGATGCTGTGGAAAAATTGCCAGGGCGTTGATTCTCAGAGGCTAGCAAGTACCTATGCTTATTGTTCTGAAAATCTTTCAGATCTGGGAGACAGAAAAAGGGAAAGGCAGAAAAAGTAGAAAAGAGGGAAAGGAGCAGAGGGAGAAAAAAGACAGGAAGGAACACCAGTGTAAGAAAGGCTCGCATTAAAGCGCCAAGACAAAGACACGTTATAAAACAAAGACAAGTTATAATTGTTCTTCTAGATGGCAGTTCTAAAACATGTCTGTCTTTAATACTGGTATCTTTGAGGTTAAGAACCACTTTTAAAACTAAAAAATTTAGAATCTAAAAAATTCCAGGGTGGGTTAAAATTGTGTTTGGTAGGGGGTAACCAGAGCCTCAAAAGATAATGCTCAGGCACTCTCTGTAAACAAGACATGCTACATTCCTTCTATCCCCTCTACAGCTCCAAATCTGCAATGTTTTAGATTTCCACTACTCTTAAATCCCAGCAGTTTGTAAGGAAAAAAGATGAACATTTATTTATCAGTGATATCAACCTGGCCCAGTATTTTACAGCATTCAGCAAAAATTCTCAAGAAGATACTACAGTTAAAACAAAAATCTGTAGTGTCCTTTGTATAGCAACGTTTCAACATGCTAATAAGAAGCACCTTCAAAATATGCTTTTTTTAAAAAAGGAGAGGTAAATGTAGAGATCTCAAGAATTTTGTCTGAGTTCTGGTTGAGAACTCAGGGCCAATTACCTCAACAGGGAAGAACAATTAGCAAATTAATGAAATGGGGAGAGTTTACATTCATCTATTAGAGCAAGCAAAAATCAAGGCTGATTATTTGCTAATTATTCAAAGTGAGGCTCTTACTCTGCCGAACACTACTACCATGAGTCCCTGGTAAGCCGAGTTCCTACTATGAAATTCAAGTTTCAGGGACACACTTTCACTTACTAAGGTCTTTAATAGAACTTAAGTTTTGTTTTCAAATTTAGTTTTGACAAAAAGATCCACAAACAACAAAACTCATTAATTTGCTGTTTGTATTTCCTTCATCCGTCATTCTTGTCAAATAGACACCAGGGGAAAACGGTAGGTATTGATGGATTCCTATTTTACAATTAGCTCATGTTTGAAAATTTGAGAAAACCGACATTGCTTAAAATTCATACCAAAACTAAGCTAAGTTTTCTTTAAATGATACAAGTCAATGCAGAGTCGGAAAACATTAGTATTTGCTCTATCTGTGGTCTACTCATCTCTACTGAATCGAAACCAGTTCTTGAAACCCCTTAAAACCAGTGGTTGCTTCAAGACAGTTTGAAAACCACCATCTTGCAAGTGCAGAACATAGGAAAACAAGCACGTTTCTAAAGGGGGAGAGGAACTGGAGCAAAAAGTCCGCCACTAGGTGACGGCAGCAAGGTAGGAAAGAATAGGACGGGTGGAGTTCAGAAGGTCCAAGGGACACATGCAAGCCCTAAAAGAAATTAAGAGTAGTAGATTGAAATGGAAATTCAGAAGTAGTCAGGGCTGCTTTCCTGCATGGAGACAAAATTAAGACTTAGTCATGCATCGCTTTTTGGGAGACGCCACAAGTGCTCAGAAAAGAGCGAGGCAACAAAGCTGATAGCAGCACCACCTGGGGCACAAAAGCAAGAACAAGATGATGTCTTTCGCACATCAGTATCAGTCAGCTTTGGAAATCTCAGACAGAGCTGTTCCAGTCCAAGAGTCACTCTGTATGGGAGTGTCACTGTGTCTTCAAGGCCTGGGCTCATCATGGCAGCCAGGGCTACGTTTGCTTTCTCCTGTGGATGTCCTCCCTTCAAGCCCTATTACATGCCTCATTAAATGAATAAGCAAATCAACTAAAATCTAAAACTTAGCCACCACAAAGTCAAGATTCTTCATTTCTTCTAAGATAAAAATTCCCTCATGAATTATCTGAACAGAGTAGGAAATCATGTCCTCACCAACTTAATGGTATCTATGGAGAGAACGAGGTGTGATCCTTCAAAAAAATGTCATTTGAACACATATTTAGACACCCAAGTTCTTAAAATCTAATCTGTAATTCCAGAAAAGGAAGGAAATAAAAGTCTTCCTAACCACCATGGAAGCTGAGGCCCAAAATATGGAGGAAACTAACTTAGCATCAGCCCAGGTGAATGCTAACCCAACACTCCGAGCTACTCAGCCGCGGACAGGTCAGCCAACTGGAAGTGACTGTTTTTAACTGTACATTCACCAAGGCTCAAAACTGCAAAGCTAATTTAAAAGGATTTTTCTGTTAAATGATCAGACCCTTGAAGGATCTCAAGAGGCCAAAAAGGTATAGTGATGACTTTAAAAACCAAGGCTCTGAGGTTACACTATCCAATCTAACTACACAGAAACCACGGGCTCTCAGTAGCAAATTAAGCACCCCAGGCAAGCGGTGTCCTCAAGGGATAAAATAGGCATAATGGAATCTTTTCCAGAATCAGAGACAGGATTAAATGAGATAATACACTCAAGGTCCCTGGAATGGGGCCCAGCACACTATAAACACTCAGGAAATGTGAGCTGCGCCATCACTATCACCATCCCTTGTGACTTTGGATTCAGTTTAATCATGTAAGTGGCAAAAATGAACAGCAGAAGCAGCAAGAGACTCTTAAGCCTCTAAACTACTTAACCCACAAACCGAAATTCAGCAGTATTTGCTAAATGGAGAAGGGCAAAAACAGGATAATTTCCGAATCTACGGTATGCTCTGTCTGGGATTTCCCTGTTAGGGTTGCTGGCATGCAAAGCTCATTTTAAGGCTGATCCAGCAGAGGCAGATTAGCAAATCAGAGTACTGGAAATAACCAATGCATGAAATACACACATTTGCCTCCGCTTCCAGAGTAATCATCGATCAATGGATCAACTGAAGGTAAGCAGGAGGGAAAATACAAGAAGGGTCAGAGTTCAGGTTCAGCAGTGACACAGAGAGGGAACAGAGCAGCATTTGGCATTGGGGAAGATGAAAAAAAACTAACACTTAGAATACATTATCATTTTGCACACTGTATTCACTTAAACTCAGGTGCTAATCAGTAAGAAGAACTAAACTAGAAGAGACTTTGAAAATCTTACTAGAATTTCAAACAATATTAATTTTTCACTCAAAAAATAAAAAATATGCTTTATCAAATAAACCCCGTATACTATTCTACCTGAATCACCCAGTTAACTTCTGATTAGACATTATGCAGGCAGATCATGGAGGTTAAAAAAAAGATTCCTTTTAAGACAACACTGTAAAATAATATTCTCTGGAAGTCTAATTCTTGAATTTGACAGGAAATGGATATTTTTCCCTTCATGTGTTCATAGGGAGCCAGGTGGGGAGTGGTCCTCAACCACTTTGAAGGAGGGGAAAGATACCACTCCAAGGTAAATCTTAATCTGAAAGGGGACTGGAATGGTAGGTTTGTTACACATGTATTACCACTACTGCATTAATCCAGAGAAGCCCCTAATATAAAAACAAAAATTTCAAGGAACGATTTTATGAAGTGATTAATTTCTCAGTGAGAATAAGCTCATCTAAAATGAAAATCTAATTAAAAATATAAGAAATAACATATTTACATTTTAAAAACGAATTTCAGGGGCGCCTGGGTGGCTCAGTGGGTTAAGCCGCTGCCTTCGGCTCAGGTCATGATCCCAGGTCCTGGGTTCAAGCCCCACATCGGGCTTTCTGCTCAGCAGGGAGCCTG